AGGCCTGGGCTCCACCCCGTGCCCTCCTCACACTCAATGTTACAGCCACACAGGCCCTCCTCCTCCCTCCTTGAGCTTGGTGCATGTTTTCCCTTGGTCTGGAAGGCTTCCACAGCTTACTCTCCCTCTCTTTGTTCTGAAGGCCCCAGGTCCTTGCTCTGTGCTCCCATAACACTCTGTATGTCACTGTCCCACAGTCACTATCTGCCACTCTGAACTACAGTCAACTCCCTACCAAATTAAATTCCATAAGGCAGGGGGGGAATCTAACTTGTCCACTATTGTGGCTCCCACTCGCTGCACAGAGCTTGGTATAGAGCAGGTGCTCAGTTCATACCTGTGGAGTGAATGATGAATAGGGGCCATGGTAGTTCATAGAGACGAGTTCTCAATGGGAACTATGTGGGGTTATTCTTTTTTACTTTCTAGCAGAACCGTGAGGAAAATCCATAGATGATACAAAGATTAAGCCAAACCTTCCATGGATCCTCAATGATCTCATTCTGTACAACAGGAATAAATAACTCATGCCTGCCCTATTCTACTGAACTGTTTTGAGGATCAGATGAGAGAATGTGAAGATGCTTTTAAAATTTGGGGGAGGGAATTCTCATTATTATTGTTGCAAAGTTACTGATAGTGATGATTGATGGGTATATACTAATTGTTGAATGCATGAATGATGAATTAATGAATTAATGGGGATGAGTGAACCAAGCATTTATTGAGTAATTTCTAGGATCAGACACTGCCAGTTGCTTGGAGAAACAAAGTTGATTCGAATGTGGTCCCTGCCCTCAAGGGTCTCTCAAACATTAGCCTTGAATCATCCAGAGAGTTTAATTAAATGCCACTGCCCAGGTCCCCCCACAGACCCTTTGTGTCAGAATCTCCAAGGCGTGGTACAACATTCTGTATTTTTAATATTCCTCCTCAGTCGATTTTGTTGTGCATCAGGGTTAAGGAATATTTCCATTACAAAAATGTTAAAATTACCCCTGGAGACTCGACTAATCTCGGGTCTCTATCTGAGCCCTGCACTTGGCCTTGAAGCAGGGCAAGGCTTTCCCCTTCAACAGCATCCCTAACACCGCAATAGCCCCCATTGAGCACTCCCCACAATCCTAGGAGGAAAGAACTGGTTAATTATCACCACTTATAGAAGGAGAGACTGGTTTGGAGGTATTGAATTTATTGCCCTGCTAGTGAGTGGCAGAGCAGGGATTTGAACCCAGGCCTGTGTGACTCCAGAGCCAGAGATCCTGGCCTCTGAGACAGCCCCTACCCTGCTCACTGGCTAGGGCCAGAGGGTGGTAACTGGGGATGGTTGTTAGTTTCTCAACAATTTTGGTTTTCCAAAGGACCTTGAAGGCTGCATCCTTCTATCCCAAAGTGTGGACAGCCAAGGCCATAGATGACCCTTTCCTAGATTTCCCTTGGGAGGACAGGATCCCCACCTTCCAGAGGCCACCCCTAGACCAGCTCCTCACCTGTTTGCCTTGATACTCCTTCCCAGGAGAACAGTGCTTATTAAGACCACCACACCCACCAGGACAAAGATGGAAATATTCCAAGGAGATGCTGTGGAGGGACACACAAGACAGAGCCTTGAGGAGAGGCTGGTGGCCCTCAGGCCCACTAACAATTGGGGTTTGAGCTCTGACACAGCTCACAGTATCAATTAGCCTCTGTTGTGGACCAGGTGTTGTAGAGCAACTCTAATTAAGGTGAAGATGAGCTCCCTGCAGGGAACTCTGTGTGTGTGTGTGTGTGTGTGTGTCTGTCTGTTTGTCTGCTATGGAGCAGCCCTAATTTAATGGGAGACAGCACTGCAGTTGGATAATAGTGGGGAGGGCATGAGGTGAGTCAAGATAAACTTCCCAATCTTCAGAGTTTTGCAGGGGACTGGAGTTGTGCAGTGCAAGGACAGGAAGGAAGGAAGAGAAGCCTCAGGAGAGGGAGGGAGGAAGGGAGGAAGAAAGAGAAGGAGAGAGGGAGGGAGGGAGAAAGATGTGGCAGTTAAACTGGATTCAACAACTGTCCACAGGTAGTATATAAAGTGGTTAATCTGAATTTGGGTAATCAATATTCATCCACATTGTATCAAAGTGAGGCAGGATCTAGCCTCAGAGCCTTTGCATTTGCTGTTTGCATTTGCATTTGCATTCTACCAAGAATGTTCTTTCCTCACATAATCTGCATAAACTGGTTCTTTCACCTCCTGCAGGCTTTGTTCAAATGTCAGCTTTGTAGTGAAGCCTTCCTTGACCACATTACCCACCCTTGCTGCGCACTTCCCATTCCCTTTCTCTGCTTAATTCTTCTACTTATTTTTTTTCTCTTAGCCCTGGAATCATCCAGAGAATTTAACAAAATGCCACTTCCCAACTTAGACTCCATGCATTTAGGTTGTTTATCTTGTTTATTTTCTATTTCTTTCACTGAAACGTGCTCCATGAAGGCTGAGATTTTCATGTTTTATTCACTACTGTAACTCCAGTGCTAAGACAGTGCCTGGCACACAGAAGGAATTTAATAAATATTTGCGAAAGAGTGGATGGATGAGTAAATGAATGGCCATGACTTGAAAAAAAGGAGGGCGAGGTTCAGCAATATCCTGGGTACCAAGACTCCTCAGCCTCAGTCCCTGCCTTGGAGGAAATGTGCAACCTGTTGTGAAGGAGGGGACCATGTCAGGGGCTTTAGCCAGAGTCCACTGTTTGTGTTTTGTGTTGAGACCATATACACCCTCATCCCCAGAAACCAATCCCTTGCCACTTACCATCTTCTACCCGAAAGAACCAAAGCATTTCTTCCAGCAGCTCCTGAGGCACCTCAGTGCCAGCTGGGGCATGGGTAACCCCCTCACCGTGGACCATGTCACGCTCCTAGTTAGGGTATGTTTATGATAACGAAGTCCTTTGGCCCCTTTGGCCCCTAGATACTCTCCTGCCTCCTAGGTTCTGGCCCCTGGGCAAAGCTCTGCAGACCCCTGGAAAGAAAGCAGAGAGCATGATTGGATATCTCAACCCAGTTTGACCTCTCCTCCCTGCCCAAACCCAGCTCTCCTCTGGCCCAAAGTTATAGGACCAGAACAGCCTGACTCTGGAGCGGGTCAGGCTGTTCTGGAGAAGCAGAGACCATAGAAGTGGGAGTCACTCAAATCTTTATTAAAACCCATCACATGTGAGGAGGAGCATTGACCTGGGAGTGAGGAGGACCAAGCCACTGACAGGCTGTTGGGGACAACTCCCATTTTTGCCTACACAGCATCTCCATCCAGCTTCTACAGCCCACAGCTCTCTTTTACCCCAGTTTCTTAGTAAATTGTCCCATTCCTTGCCATTGATTTTCATATGGTAACCAATCACAGGACCCTGTCTTCCCACATGACAAAGGTTGGGCTTATCATAGTCTTTCTCCTTGAGATTGATAATGCCTGCGACTCAGAGCTAAGAATGAGAGAAAGTACCAGAAAAAGGTAGCTGCCAGCTACTGCTGCTGAGAGCTGAGCACTCTTACAGCTGAGCTTTCCTCAGTTACTATCTCTATGCCTACTTGGTCAGGGCTGCCCTCAGTTTAGCAATCCTCTGAAAACTTTTTCTCCTTTTTCTTTTCTTTTTTTGGACATGTTATCAGAGTTGTTTTTTGGTGGTTTGCAGCGGAAGAACTTGAATCCATGCCTCCCGGCTAAATCCCTTCATGAATGAGCCTGTTTCCATCCCTACAAAATGAAGCGGGTTAAACTATCTGTGTTTAACATATCTGTCAGACATTGAGACCCAGTAATAAAAAATGATAACCAATTCCAATTTGGGATGTTGACAAGAGACTAAATCACTATACCAAGGGATCAGAACACAGATTTCAGAGAGCTCTATGTAGACATGAGAACTTGGTATATAATAAAGGTAGCTCTACTAACCAGAAAAAAGGAAGAATTTTAGTATAGACGGTGTTAGGAAAACTGACTCGCTGTATGGGAAAAGGAAGACTGGATACACATCTAACCAACAGCAGGTACAAAAACAGACTCCACAATTAAAGGCCTAAATGTAAGAGGAAAAATATAAAGTTAATAGAATTGGGGTAAGACTTCTTAAACAAATCATTCAAAAACAACAACAAACAAAACTGATGCATTTGATTATATCAAAAATAAAATTATTTGCTCAATGAAGAATACTATCAATAAAGTAACAAAAACTTTTCCGATTGTGATAAGACACTTATAATGCTTAAAACCAAGAGGAGACTGACATCTAGAATATACAAAGAATTCTTAAAATATTAACAAGAAAAAGACAGGAACCCTAATAAATGGGTAAAGGATCTAAACAGGCAGTTTATAAAACAGGAAATTCAAAAGGGTAGCAAGCATATGAAAAAATGCTCAAACTCTTTGGTAATCAGAAGAATAAAAATTAAAACAAAAATGAAATACCACTTGACATTTCTTAGACCGCCATAGTTTGAAAGGTGGATAATGCTGTGTGTTAGTGGGACTCTGGGCCATAGCCTCATGCACTGACAGGGGGAGTGTAGAGTGGGCTAGCCATCTAGAGAGCAAATTAGTACTAGTAAGTATACACACCCCAGGAACAGCTCTGCTCCTGAGTGTGTATATCTATAACCCAAAGAAATGATCCCCAGTGATCATAAGGAGGCATGCCATATCATTTATGAAAATGCAAAATATATGCACACTAAACAACAAATTTTACATAAACACATTTTTTTAAAAAAGACACACATTTAACACATTAGGGTAATTCTCTCTGGGGGAGGAGGAAAAAGGGACCAGGAATGGAGATAAAAGTAACTGAAGAAATAAAATAGGAGATGAGTTTTGAACAGACCAATCATGAAAACATGTCATGGGCTAACAACAAACAACAACAACAGCAACAAAGGCAAAAAGAAAACAGGACAGGCACCAGGCGATCTCAAGTCCCCCTGCTTTGACACTGCTTCTGAAATAGCTTTTGGAGGCTCAGCTGGGAACATTCAAAAACAACTGGATGACAAACAGCCAAAAAGGAAAACAGTAGTAAAAAAAGACTAGATTGACATCAGAGGTTTCTTCAGCTCTAAATGCTCTGAGAAAACTGAAGAAACATCTATAGATTTTGAGGGGCAATATTTTGACACAAATAAAATACTGAGCTAACTTTTTCGTATATAAATGATCATTCATGTATCAGGGTGGAGATGGAAGTCAGAGAAGAAAGAAAGGCCTTATTTGGACTTCCAAGGACTCAGAGGCATACTAACCACTTACTCACTTGAGGGATGTGTGTATAGAGACTGAATAATGGAAACAAACTTATGGGGATGGCTATGTAAATATGTGATCATATTTACAGCTCCAATAGTCTGTCCAGAGCCCTTACTAAGAAGAGTTGTGACTTTCTGTCCAATGTCAGACGCAGGAGTGCCTGGATTAATTAGTAACATTGGCCATAGGCCCCTTTTGCATAAGCAGACCCTCCACACGCACAGAGAAAAGAGTATGAGGGTCTAGAAACCAAGCACTGACTCCCTGTGGGGAGGTGGGATGGGGCCTGGACACAAGGGAACACCGAGCACTTCTGTATTGTGGACATGTCTCATGAGTACACACTACCTTCATGAAAACAATACATGTAATTACATTTTTTAATGTATGTATTTTTATATGTATATTTTAAAT